CTTTAAGGGCAGCCGACACAAACGAATGCCGTGCTTCCATGAGCGTCTATAGAAGCATATGGACATCCCGGAAAGCTGAAAATGGACGCTAAGGCCCCCCCCCCTTGCGTTGAAAATGGACGCTAAGGCCCCCCCCTTGCGTTGGAAAAAGCCGACAGGGGACTTGACATAACGTCAACATAGGCCGACCTGGGAGTGAGGATGTGTTGGCAGGAGAGACGAAGCTTTTCCAACGATGACATTGTGCAAACAGCGATCGCGATACTTTATGTTACGTTAGAATGCTAACTTTTGGTGAATTTAGGAGAAATATACAGATGCAAATAGACAAACTATAGTAAAATGAACACTTAAATGTGTATTTTGTACGTTTTCCTTCCAAAAGCCTGAAAGAAAACATGTTATGGAATCAAAATAGCACAACATCTCAAAATTGACCAGTGCATGAAAAACGATGTTTTTGCCTGCCGTGTCTCGCCTTATACAAACAGGATGGAGCCGTTTTTTTTAAACGGCTCCATCCTCACTTTTGGCAGCACCCCCTGAGCAAAATGACTTCCCGCGGCTATGGTATGTGATCAGGGTCGGCGTCATGTGGGGTCATTCGCGGGCCATGCCCCCCCAAATGAGTCACTGTGCCCCCCCAAAGCAGGGTGGGCAAGCCTTGCCACTTTGCCGTTTTTTTTCTTCTAAATCATATAAGTGAAAACGTTTCCACTAAAGATTTGTTGTGTGAAATACGTCAGAAATAAAGAATACAAATATAAAACACAGCCTGAGCTGTGCTCACTGCTGCTCTCTGATTGGTGTGTTGCTTGACCAATGACCCCCGACCTTTGTTTTGTTATCATTACGTGGCTGTGTGTTTAGATGAAAGCCCAGTGGCGATCTGTTCATCTGTTACACTGATTATACAGTAAAGCCATCGAAAATAATATGATATACAGTACAGTACAAGTACCCTACTTCTGGGTCTCTGTGTTTCATTCAAGCTCGGCTCTGTGTGTGTGTGGCACGAGCGCATTTTGTGAGTGCGCAAGCGGTAACGTGGAATGTTGATGTTAGCATCTGGTTAGCTCGCTATGCTAACGGATATAAAGAGCTGTTTCTACACCAAGGTGGAGGAGAGTCCTCTCCTGTCAGACTGAGAGGATCTTATAACGTCAGCTCAGTGAGGTAAGGACTCTCTCAGTGTTTAGATAGTTCACTTTAGTGTAGGTTATCTCAGTGGGTCTCAAACGGTTTGCTCACCATTTATGTAAACAAGTATTTGCGAGGAATACCTTTATATGATCATTATAGTTATTAAAGAATAAGAGAATAAATAAAAAACGGGTATGAAATACTATAGGACAGTAACACAAGAATACAGTTTACAAGGGGAGTGATTAGTAAAATATCCATAAAGAAAAAGTAAATCTGTGTACAGTTCTGTTTCATATGGATGCTGAGAGATGTAGGCTATCCATATATCTCCTAATGTTGCTCTCAAAGTGCACCAGATTGATGCATTTAACTTTAATATTTTTTAAATAATCTTCCCGGGGGAGCATGCCCCCGGACCCTCCTAGAGGAGGTTAGGTCCACACCCACCTAAAACATGTTCACATGGATAGGATACTAAATACATTTGCACCCTTTTTATATTGTGGCCTATGTCCTTATATGTTTCTGTTTTGGTGGTCGTGCCACAACCGTGCATGTATGCACAAGTCATAGGTGCGCTATAAAATAGCACTACACCCTGCAATGTGTGTGAAAGACAATAGACTTTACAGCATGTTTTTTGAAGTTGCGTTGGTTGTTGACGGCAGTGTGTGCCCCCCCTTTGTAAATGATTGCCCCCCCCATTCGATTTGTTCTAGAGCCGACCCTGTATGTGATGCCTTTTATCTGCTAATTTACAGGAGGAAGAGTGATACACTGTCTGTCTAGTTGGCTTACATAACAGTTCAAGTTTACAGCCTAAAAAACATGGAGCATTGTTTCCCTTTTATTCATTTTTATGTCAATTTGCACATTTCATGGTGATGCTCAGCCTCTCCCCTTAACTCCTAACAGTCATCATCATGTCAACCACAACACAGAGAAATACTGATAGAAATGTGTGTCTAGTTGTTGATGCATTGCTGACGAGGGAACTACATTTGAATACAGATTTAAGAAATATCAGTTTTTGAGCATGTCATAAGCATGTTTTGTCTTGACTATATTATAATAAAACAATATAGTATTTTTATTATTGAATTGATTATGATTATGATTATTAGTAGAAGTAGTTTATTTGCATTAATTATATTTTAATCTTTTTGAGGCATTTGGCAGGAAACGCATACTGAACGACATACATGCACATTTACCATTGACCTCACTGTATAAAAAAGTAACTGTTGATAATAATAATAAACAGGAATTATATTTGCAAACATTTTTTCACTCCTGTCGGTTGGGGGGGGGCCTCATCTCACAATGTCGCTTGGGGCCCCAAGTTGGCAAGGGGCGGCCCTGCGCACACACACACACACACACACACACACACGCACACACACACACACACACACACACACACACACACACACACAACCTCCTAGACCACGTAGACGTAGACCTGTAAAGTCTATAATGCTAACATGTTAGCAACGAGCTGCCTGTTTACCATGCTATTTGCAGACCCAGTAACAGTCCTTCTGGAATATGTATTCTGTCCACCTGATGAATGTAAGTCCAACATTTATACTAATTTCAGATCAGTGTTGTTCTCCACCAAATTCCATAGGGAAATATCTGGCTCTTAGCAGGAAATTACACCCCCTTGTACTCCAAAAATGTATTGGTCGCTAACTTTGCCTCTTGGCCATCCCTGCTTGTATAGGCAGGTATAATACCGCAGAATTATCTGCACTTTATCGCTAAAGACAGCTGCCTGGGCTGGTTTCTAATGACTTAAAACTATCAAAGTTGCCAATAAAAGGTGAAAGACTTCAGCTGCATTGACCAGTGCTTACATCTTTGTTCATTCAGTTTCTCAAGTAACTTTATATTTTTTTCAATGTAGGTTTAGGCACTTGAATATTTCTCTTTAGCTTTCTTGTTGTTGTACTAGAGAGGTATATTATATTTTCACTTAATGTATGTGTACAGCTGTGGTAGCTTCTTACATTGATATTACAAGTTATTAAACAATGTCTACTACATTGGCTTTCCTTGGTTTGCAAACCTCTTACATTCTTGTAGTGTCTCAGATGTGTCAAATGTCTGATACATTTTCTATCACCACAGACATTATCCATTCTGACATGGTTACATTGAAATGCATGCTAAAGGCACAAATAGGTATAACTATACCAAGTATTTCACAAGAACTAAGCTCAAACAAATACACACATTAGGCATTAGGGAATGTCTTACTTGTATTGGGGTATTTTGTTATTGTTAGGTTGGTACTACTGGAATAAAGGATGGATCTATTAATCCAGCACTGACCACAAGCAACCTCTTTCACAAACACATCCCTGTTATTTGATTCCACTTTTAAATTGAATCAAATATCAATGGATCAAGAACTACAATATGAAATAGGTCAAGAGGAACCTGTTGGCTTTGTGTTCAGCTGCGTAGTTGTTCTAATGGGATCAGTAAACTGAGGAGTTTCTTGGTGCCGTTGCAGGAATTAGGGCTTTAGGCTAGAATGAAATGTAGCTCTGCTCTTGTAATGGTATAACCAATTATCACTTCTCTTGTTATGTGCCTCTACACCACCTCCGTGCAAATCATTCAGCTTCCACAGGTTTTTTTAGTGCGCAGCCTGTGATGCAACATTGCCTCGGAAATGGAGCCAGGGAGAGATAATATAGAAATATGGCATATAGCTGCTAAAAAGGCCACACTGGATGTTGTAGGTAGGCAAACAAAACAATCCCAGAGGCTGTTTTTGCACCGAAGAAGAACCTAATCCTGTAATGCTTTGTGAGGCTACGTCAGCAACAACCTTAGCGTCTCTGTGAGGGCGTTTTTTGACATGCTGCTCTGAGCTAAATGCTAGGATTATTTATACAATGATATAGGAAATATGCATGCTAATGTGGATTTTAAGCGTAATGTTTGCATCTTAGGTAATATCCTCAGCTGGACTCCTGACTGTCCCCACCTCCCGCCTTAGCACCATGGGAGCCAGGGCTTTTAGCTGCACCGCACCCAGGCTCTGGAACTCTCTGCCTCCACACATCAAACAGTCTGACTCCATCACGACATTCAAATCCCACCTCAAAACCCACCTGTTTAAACTGGCCTACTCACTCTAAAACACATTCAACCTGCTATCACGGATCCTCCTCTCACTCCGTCACTCCACACTCTTGTCTTGCCTGTTTTATGCTTTTATGCTGCTGTATTGCCATGTCGGTTCGATTAAATTGTGTTCCGTTTTTGTTTTAGCTGTTTTAACTTTTAAATGCACTGTAAGGCGACCTTGGGTGTCCTGAAAGGCGCCTCGAAATAAAACGTATTATTAATATGGTAATATTAGCTATTCGCTCAGTTCAATCAAGCCTGATGGAAATGTTATCGGTAATCTTTAGCACGTATTTGGTCATATTTCATTAACACTTATTGTACGCTTGACCTGGTAGTGGCTGTAGAGAAAAAGTTAAGGAATCCCCAACAACAATTAACAATTCATGAATGTTTCTACCGAACTTCATAAAAAAACGTTCGCTAGTTGTTGAGAAATTGACTGCCTTCATGTAAACTTCCTGGCTGTGCTCCATGATCAACAAAGTAAGCAGGTGTCATTCTTTGGGAACAGGGACCATTCATTTCTTTTTAAAATTCATCCCCTAGTCTTTGAAATATTTCAGTCTGGACCAGTGTTTGATCAACCAACATTGCCTCCCTGCAGCCATGCCACTTGGATGACAATACATTAATATTGGTTTAAACAGCACCATAAACGACATTATTGAATATCACGAACACAGTAGCACATGCATAAAGCATCTCCTTTACCATCACTGACGGCACAAGTCTTTTTTAATCGTAATACGAACATACATATATTTGATCACAGTTCACGTTTTCTTTTAGTGGCTGAAAGTGACAGAACATAACAAGGGAAGTGCCATCACCACATGTTACATTACAGCTGGTAGGAGAAATGACACAAGCTGAACACAGAGTAAGCATCACAAGACAAGAGGATGTCTGAGAAAAGTGGCCAAGTGTAACAATGTAAACATGTATACTTTGAAGCATCCAATTATATCCAGCCAAATTCTACTCACTGCAGCCAATAACAGTCTCAGAGGAACAATACAGATAAAAGGCAAAAACAATGTATCACTGCATGTATTCTGTTTTTGCATTTGATTAATGAGGCATTCATGTTCCATGTGCCCCACAGTGAAAAAGACTGAGACCAGTTTTAGACGTGGACATCTGGCTGGTTCATCCTCCATTGAAAACACAGAAAGTGGCCTGCATTCATATTCAGTGCAGAGGTAAGATAAAGAGCCTGTTGTCTGGTGTGCAGCAGTCCACATTTATTAACGTTTTTTTTGGAAGCAACCTGCTTGCCTCTTAAAAAAATAAAATAAAAAGAGACATAAAGTATAGCTGGTTGTGGACTTTTTAGAAACAAGCACTATCTATGTTTGTATTCCAAGTGTCCAATTAGAATGAAATACAGATGGGTTTGGTGGCATCAGGCCTGCACCGAGGCTGTGTATGTGGGTGTCACACGTCTTAAAAGATGTATAAGTATCTGCCACAGCTGGATGCCTCCACTCCTGGCTGATGACTGTTTTGACAGTTCAGTAATAGCCCCTATTGACAGTCAAGGCAGCCCTTCACTATTGGAAGCAATTCAGCTTGTGCTATTCACAGTAAAATACCCCTTTCACAGTAATTAGATTCTTGAATACGATGATTTCAAATCCCTTGGAGCCCAGCTGAACTAGGGGAAAACAATTAATCTGGAAAGACGAGTGCATGCTTTAATTGAAGCCCGATGGAGTGTTTTGCTTTGGAGAGGGGCATCTTTTAAAGCATCAACGAGTACGCCCTTTACATCTGGGTAATTTGTAAGATCGCTTCAGGATAATTTGCAGATGGAGTGAGTTATACAGACAACACTTTAAAATTCTATCAGCACTTCAAAGCTACACATAAATGTGCAGCTTTAAGTACTATACAATAATGTGTAAATATTAGATAACACTTCTATGATATTTCTATTTAGAAGTATGTGTATCAATCTGAATGAGCAAAAAATATATAATTGATGTAGTTAATGCAGTGTTTAGGCCTCTCAATATCAGTGAAGTGCTCGCCGTGAGAAGGTTGAAATAAAACACTAGATAGCAAATGGCATCCGGATAATAACTTCACTTATTCTACTCTGCCTACACACTGAGGTTGATTACCGAAATCAGCGGCATGGTTACATAACCAGGGTCACATGTGGACCTAAAAAGCCCTTGAATAGAAAATGCTCAAATCCTGTCCTCTATGTTTTAACCCGTCTGCTAATCATATCAAAAACATTAAATCCCGACCCAGCTGTGTGTTCTGTGTCAGAGAGAGGAACCAGATTAGAGGGATTTAAATACACTTAAATTGACAAAGCACCTGGGTTTTATCCTCGTGGTAATCTCCTCAAACCTAACCCCAAGTCATCACACAATGTGATGTCTCTAATACACTTTCTGAAAAACAACGGGTCATACCACTGATACAAGATGTTATATCACACGCACATATCGGCATGTTGCGTAACCTTTGTTCAGCAGTTTGAATGTTGCTTACCACGGCGAAACAGCTTTGTTAAATATACCAAGTCAGTAGCTGTGTGATTAAACAGAGTGATGCATCACAATACACTCTAACGGATTTTTGCTTAATCCCTGAGAGTTTAATTGTGATGAAACTTGCGCTGTGAAAGAACTCGTCTGTCCCACTTGCATGCATGGCTCGCCATTTGATTTGAGATTTCACTCTTTTTTTCTCAGAATTTACATTCAAGTTGCACAACAGTATTAGTCCCCTCAGGCTTGAAAGAAGTCAAGTTTTAATTAAGGATTAGAAATAATCAAAGGCTCCTACTCTAACGACATACTCTCCTTTTGTGGGATGGGTGGTTACTGACAACTGTTCTTTGACATTATATGAAGGATTACATCTAATCCTATTCAATCTTGGTGCAATCCTTAGTCCCACCCGGTGTTTGCATTATGATTAAACTACAATCTCAAAACATTGTGTTTGCATGGGTTTAAAGAAATTGATTTGTTTCTTTTGAGGCCAGTGTTTTTTCTCATTGGATTTTTTAAATCCCTACATCCTCGACCACCCGTAAGCTCTCTTTGGTCTTTCATGTCATCAAATGAATGTTCTCGTCTCACACACTTATGTTCTTTCACAGCAGTGCATGCAAGGCCTTCTTCAACATCTTTCATTGTTGGCATTGCAGTGTGTAATTCTGTCATTTGAAGCATGTTGCAATGAATTTAAATAAAAATACAAAGCTTTTCAAAGTAATGCCCCCTTCAGGGTTTTGCGTCAGACCTGCTTGAAGTAGGCTATGTGTCACTTCCGTTCAAATGTTGTGCTTTCGTTTGTTCCGCATAGTTCAAAGTGCTCTGCTGTGTTTGATCAAAGAGATGCTCTCTTTGAAAGCATTCCAATTACTGTTTGTTTTTGGTTTGTTGACACTCCTGATTCCTGTACTTATTTGCCAGATAAGCAGAGCGCTGATAGAGAGTCATTGTTTTTGGCTGGCAGATTAATGCAACAGGTGCAAATGGGAAATGTATGTATGATGGATCACTGCAGGATGCACCTCTGTTTTCTGCTAGATAAGATGTTCAAATATGTATTGAATGCTATGGCTTCAGCACAGAAATGTTTATTCCTAGCTGTATCTTAATTCCTTTTTCTTTTTCTGAAATTGCTTATAAAAAGCTATATCACCAGGCCAGCTAACTGATCTGAAGGGAACAAATATGTTATTAGGAAGTCAGGCAACAGAAGTTTTCACGAGTTGGAAAGAGTTTTGGGTTTAGAAGTATTGCTGTATATTACATTTATCTTCAGCAAGTGCCTATCTCTGCCACACTAATTATGGAGCCCTTCAACTCAACCCAGATACACAGGCTGCACTTCCTTCCTGCAGTCCGTCAGTCATGAACTTGCAGCGTTTTTTAGTAGCATTTAATCCTTGTTAAATACTTTCTTTGAAAAGTGAGCCAGATTCACTCTCCGATCCCACAAGAAATATTTCTCCCTAGTGTCGAACCCCAGTACACAGAGAAGTTATTAGCTGATTTTTAGGTCTGACAACGGCTCCATAGTGATTTAGAAATGTCATTACACTGCGGGTAATAAACCTAACCTTGAAACTTTCTCTGGACTTCTGGACTTAATGACAGAGAAAAGGAGAAACGGAACAGTAAATGTTGCTCTTTTGTTCAGGAGGCCTTTTAACTGGAGCCTGCAATCAGCAAAAAAATGTGATTTTTTCCTTTCACAGCCATGATACATTTCTATTGCACCTCAGCGTTAATTCCTGCCATTAACTTTTAGGTGGCCATTCAGTTTTTTCTTCAGTTAACATTGGCTCCATGAATGCTACACGCTTGCTGCTTTGGGACCTGTGATGGCTTCTTCTGGAGCTGGAGAAAACAGAGCGAGGTCCCGGCTGTGTGCAGCAGCTGCAGCGACACGGAGTCAGGTAGAGGTACACGAAGATGAACAACATGGACAACATACAGGCTATCAAGGTTGTGTAGCCTGTGTTGAATGTTTCGGTTTGTGGCAACACCACCGTCACATTCACCTCCCGGGTCGCATTTAGTGCGTGTTTCATATCCTGAGCTGTGCACACGTACAAACCCGAGTCATTGACCTTGGTTGCTTGAATATCCAAGGTACCGTTGGGAAACAAGCTCGTTAGAGTGTCATTTATGCTCGTCTGGGTTATGTACCCCTTGCTGGGGGTGAGCCATGCAAATGAGAGGTCTCTGCTAATCAGAGATGTTTCGCAGTCTAGACGCACCATTTCTCCCTCAGTCACCGTCAGCTTAGACAGGAACACAGTCACCGGGAGTGACATGGGTTTTTCCACTGTGCAGTTACGGAAGAAGCGGGGTTGTCGCAGGAACCGCACGAACGATCGCGTGTTCCCATAGATGGTGCAAGTGTGCTCCTCCGTAAAGTCCCTCAGTGTTTCGTAACCCCTCAGATCCCAATGCCAGAAAACGCTGTACATGGAGCAGTCACAGATCAGAGAGTTGTTGTGGAGGTACAGCCCCCGCTGCACCAGCATGGGCAAAGCTTTCACATCCACCCATGGCAGACGACTCAAACGGTTGGACGAGAGATCCAGCATGGACATGAAAGGGTGACTATGGTCTGTGATGGAGAAGAAAGGGAAGTATGTGATCTGGTTCAGGCTGAAGTAGGCCTTTTTTAAACTGCTGAGGCCATTCAACATGCCAGCCTCCAACTGTGTGATCTTATTATTGAAGAGAAGGAGCTCCTCCAGCTTCCACAGCCCCTGGAAGTAGTGTTGCTCCACCACACGCAGCTTGTTGGAGGACAGGTCAAGGTACCTGAGGCTGGAGGCATTTGTAAACACGCCCTCGTCCAGGGAGACAAGCTCGTTGTGGGTCAATAGGAGTTTTTCCAATTTGGGCATCTTTTTGAAACTGCCCACACCCAGCCAGGACAGGTAGTTGTGGCTGAGGTCGAGGATGACAGAGTAGGTCGGCAGGGACTGAGGAAGCTTGGTCAGACCACAGGAGCTGCAGCCCGCTGTGTCGGATACACAGATGCACATGGGGGGACAGACTCCCTCAGAGCCGTGACAGAGCAGCACCAGCAGAGGATACAGTCTGAAGGTCATCTTTGTGGAAGCCTGATCCTTCGAGGTTTCTAATCCCTCCGGCTCTCCCTGGTCAGATAAGAATCAAATCAGAAACAAATAAGACTGTACAGTCAGGATAATCTTTTAAAGGTGAACCCCTTCACTTACAATGGAAGTTTCTGCTCTTTGGTTCCCACCTCTGACAACACATACAGATCTGTAAACTCTCAACTCTTTAAAGTCTGGGTAGCATCAGCACATATCTTTCTTTCTTTGAAATCAGTATAGTTGCTTTTGTACTTGCGTTTTGTAACTGTTCACTTTATAATGTTGCATTTATATGCTTTTTGATTTTGCGTGTGTCTTGCCCTACGTTGTTGTTTCTATTTTGCCTCTGCAGAGATAATTGCCCTATATAATCTATAATTGGGAAAAAGAACATGAACAGAATGAATACACTATTTTGGTGCAGTAGTCATTGGAGGGTTGCAACAACATCAGTCTACACAATATCAGAACATTGAGTGAGAAGCACACGAGAATCGTGGCCTTTCTATTACTTTAAAAAATATTTTAAATGAATTTCATCATCAAAATAGTTGCAAATTGACACCCTGTTGCATGACTCAACACTTTAAATAATTGTCAAGTAGGAAACTTTTCAAAGCAATATGAGCACAGATAGAAAAACCTCACCTTTTTAGAAGTATGTTTCTTCTCGGTTATTATCAGGTGAAGTTGAAGGCTCTCAGAGACAGTTCAAACTGATTTTCCGCCACTGACTTGCAAGTCTGTATGAATTTGATGGCAGAAAGGGGAAAAGTTCATACTAATTTCAGACGAGTGAGCTATTTGGCGCACTCACTTAATCCCATTCTCCCCTCCAAGAAAAAGAAGAAAAACACTTCAAACCACACATCCAAAGTAGACTACTTAGCGACAACATGAGGCTCCAACTTTCTGCGCTTCTTGGAAGTTATCCCTTCATGAATACCCATAACATTGCTGTCTAATCCTTATCTTCTACTAAGATCCTCCTCCCCAGACGCTCGAGTAAAATGCTTTCGCCTTTCTCTCCAGCCAAGTTTAAGGTCTCCCTACTGGGTTTGTCTTCGTCCCAAATGAGAGTGCCGCTCAACTAACATCCTGCAGTGGTTTTCAGTGTATAACAAACAGCACAGAGCTCACTTAATCTCCCACAATCCCCTCCTCCTTCTTTGTGTCATTTTAAAACCAGCCTTGTGTCTCCCCCGTCATCATTAAGTAATGATGCTGATGGCTGCCCTTCCTTCTCTCTATTTATTATTTGTACCTCTATTGCCAAAATCAGTTTATTTCAGTTTAACATGACTACTTTTTAGGGTTTCACTTGATTACAGATTAGTAGAACCTAGGAGCTTTCCTCATGAATCCTACATGCGTCATCCGGTAACCTTCCACCAATAATCCCAGAGGACTGGAATTTAGCTATGCCCTCAAAATGTTATACTTTTTTGTGTGTGTGCAATCCTGCCTGGATGTCAGTTTACTTATCATTGCAAATACACCTGTTATTGTGAGTTCTTTAATTCGGCAAATCCTGTCCATCCCTTTCCATCTCTGTGTATTTTGTCAGCTCCTGTGTTGAATGTCTTCCTGACTGTGAAAGTCTCTCTTTACCTGTATGCCTCCATACCATGTTGATTCTATTTCAGGGGTTTCTGAGTGGACGGATGTTGCCTACCCTGATGCCTAGAACACACCCACACACACCCACCCACATACACACAAACACTCTCTTTCTCTATCTCTAAGAGCCTTAATCAGTACATCCCCCTCCTTTATTTTCTGAGCCCCCGGCATCCCTGCTTCCCCTTGGCTGTGGGTTTGACTGGATATATGCTGTCCATGCTGCTTGGTCATGGTAGCCCTGACAGCTCTGATTTCTGTCACAGTAAATTAGCTTTGCCTCTCAGCTGCCACCCCCTCACTGCTGCCCCCAAAACTCCACACCCCTCCCTATAAGTGCTTGAGGCTTTGACTGACTCCCACTCATTCACTCACTTACTGTGCAGAAGCACATAGCCGATTCCCCATGGATTCAGGCGTGCTGGATGGGGTTCACTCAAAAGCGAACAGATGTGCAGTCCACAGGAAGATGTATACAGGAAGGTGCAAAGGCTTCAGTCTGAGATCACTTTGAAATATCCCTCCACGTGTTTATGAATATAATTAAGGATCAGAAATCACATGAATGTTTTTGTGTCGATATGAAAAAAACACCACCAGATTTGGCATTGTGGCATTACACACAATCTTATCCCAAGGCTAGTCATCAGCTTGGCTGCTACATGTAAGAAATATATACACCCACACATGTACATCAGAGATATGTTAGAAAAGGATTCTTAGCAGGCCCTTCTTGTAGGTGTTATGTTTATAATTTACGTTTATATATGTTTATTATATGTTTATGTTTATCATGGCTCAAATAGCCTCAAAGTCATTTGTCTCTTTTCCTGGGAATTTGTTTTACTGTAAAGTCAACCTTGGTCTGAGTTTTTAAACAGGTTTCATTGCTTTAAGGTATTATGTTACATTCCTGTTTGTACAGTATGCTCACATGAAGTCCCTAATTGTAAATGCATCACACTAACATATAAACCAGTCGTTCCTTCTGCATAAGCTGGTGATGATTCATGTTTCTGTTTGCTCAGAAGAATAAAATAATTTGAATAAGGTGCATCATTGTGCAGCCATTGTGCCAGCATGATTCCAGTATTTGTTTTTAGCTACAGTATAATTGCGCGGGGAGCATATCATTTTTCTCAGGCAGCCCTTGTTTCTCTGCTGTTGACATAACAATGGCATAGCCTACTGGAACATTTCAGTGCCTCATTATTTTCTGTATTGACTTTCTTTCTGTAAAGGCTCCGTCGTTTTCGAGTCCAATCATTTATCAGTGTCCTCGGAGGTCAATTGAATCAAAGCATGAACAGGTAAACAAGACAGAGATAGTAGTTTTTCTGTGCAGATTTCAATTCATTTTAATTGCAAGACAATTATTTGGCCTTTGACTGCTGATTGCCTCTTGTCATACAGTATTAGTGTGTGTAGCTTTAACAGAATGAGGTCCTCTGAGAATGTCAATATTAACGCCTTCTTTATATATTCTTGCTTTTCTCACTGGGGCGTCTAAACATCTCTCTGTGAGTCTCGTTTTTCTCTGCATGCTCCTGAGTACAGACTGGACTGTGTGGCTACAGCCCGCTGCTTTGTAAAATCCCTAATCTAATCAGTATCCTTGTATCAAGCTGTTTTGCAAATCCCGCCCCCTTCTTTCGCATATATTTGATTAGACTCAGTGTATTCAAAACGGTCTTGTCAAATCGTCCAGGTTCACAGTGGACCTCAAAGCTTAAGCCCTGACCCTGATGTATCCGGCCCCCAGCAGAAAGTGATTTTCTCTTCACCATCTGCTGCAGAGGAGAAGAAAAAAAATCTGAAACGCACCACAGCAAATAAATGACTGCAAGACGAGAGTCTCGCCCTTGAGAAAATGGTTAAGCTTCATACAAGACAATAATATACCGCGTTATGTGCTCAGATGTATGCAGAATGTTTTTTGTACGAAGCACTGAAATGAAGGTTATGCATATTTAAGTCTTTAGTTTGTATACTTTAAATATGCCTGCTCATAAAGACCAAGTCTTGAAATAATAATAATAACATTTATATTAGTTGAATACCATCTGTGTCTTTTAATAAAATAGGCTACTGTAATGTGATTTTGAAGAGAAATAAATTAAACATCTAATCTTTTCATTATTGCAAAGTATTTTTGCAAAGTGATGCAAGCTGTAATATCCAACGTTAAAAGCAACTGTAGCTGAAGTGTTTCCATAGCGTCTGTCTGCCGCTTCTGAACCCTTGAACCTGAACATGCACACCCTTTTGTTAAGTGTTTTTCCTGCTTTTGAACTGATTTTTGTTAGCACGGCTGACAGCCAGACTCAAATAAGAATGAGTCAGTGACTGTATAAAGATTTGGAGGATTGACTTTTATTTCATTTCTCTCTGCAGTTGAATTTGCAGTCTGGATGAGCTCTCTGTTGAGAAGCAGTTTCAGACAGTGCACGATTGTTTGCTTGTCACATGAAGCGGCTCTACTGCGCCATATGCTGTGTATTCATAGTGGTTGCACTGCATTATTGAAGAAAGCCTCACTCAAAACCCCAAACACCTGGTGTGAAAGCGGTTTTATGTGTTAGATAATGCTAGATGACAAAATGAGTCTCTAGCTAGTGCTTTGCTCCACACAACCCATCTGGTGGATGTAGCGCTCTGAAAGTGTAAAGAGACAAGCACACCATCTAGTGGTGTAGAACTCAACTGAACAGTGACGCATCCGGTGCACTCCATCATTTCCACTTTCACGATTACTGGCCAGAGTGGGACCTATTATCATCCCGAGTTTCATGCTTCTGACTAGATATAGGACTAGAGCTTTACATTGCAAGTATGCTCCTCTGCACTATACTCTACAACCATCTCATTTGCGGTGTATTTTTCATACATCATTTTAAACATAAAAAATGCAAAGCCCCCCGCCCCCCTACACTTCTTTATCATTGAACTGCTGTGGCTTACCGCCAGCAGCAAACTAGTCGATGCTGCTACTAATTAGGGACAACAATGGACAACAAACTATATCATGCTTAGGTGGCATCACAACATACGTCTTTGATAAAGTAAAGGGCTTATTGGTTTCGAATTCTTACCATAACACTCCACACTTCCTTGATTCATCTTGCATTGTAGCCTTAGCATACCTGTCCAATCGCCATCATACATTTATGTTGTTTGTTCAATAACTTTATTTACAAGCCGCAAACCCCTTTTCTTTCTCACTCGTCCTGCTTCCTGGGATTAATTGAGTATAGCCTGATTTCTTGTCTGGAAGCACATTTTTACACTTTGGTTTATATTGTATACGATAACGTAATAGTGAGGTAGAAACGTTGTTTTTGACATTCACATTTATGAAGGGCTAGCTGTTCGCTGTTTCAAGTCTTTATACTGAGCTGAGCTAACAGGCTGCTGGCCGTAGCTTTATATTTAAAGGTCCCATGTCATGGCCATTTCCACTGATCATAATTCCATTGTTGAGGTCTACTAGAATATATTTATATTGTGCAATTTTCCAAACTCACTTTGGTTTCTCAAACAGCATCTCTGTAAACTACGTGTATTCACCATAGACTGTATATATAAATGGAAGTAGTGTCCGTGACGTCACCCATAGGATTCTGCAGAGTTGCCGTGAAGCCCTTAGTAGGCGGAGTCGGCCACTAACGGCTCGACTGTGACGTCAGAGTCTAATCCCGCCTGCTCCAAATAAGGGCAAAGAGGCGGAGCCGAGGCGGGACCTGCTGCCTCCGAACTGGAAGTAAACAGAGCTAGCTCAGGCTAAGAAGCTAAGCTAACATGAAATACATGCATACCAAGTTACTGCAAACAGTGTAGTTCCCCTATATAAACGTTACATTCATAATCAAATGAGACAATCTGCAAGAGAATTAGCTATATTTTGTTATTCTTAATGCTTGTCATTCACACGTTGAGAAAAGACGGACTCCACCGCCCGGACCTAACGGAGCCGCAGTGGGCTAGCTCCGGGACGCCGGCTGGAGCTAGCCCCCTGCGGCTCCGTTAGCTCCGGCGGCCACCACTGGGATAATTGGGTCACCTATTAACATTTGCTCCCGTTTAGCATTATGGGCGTCATAGCCATAGACTATAAAAGTCTTACCCAAGGCTGAATCATAAACTAAAATGTATATGTATGCATAAAGGGTTACGTCCTTAGCTGGCTAATAAGTAACAAGCTAAGCTACCAAGCACACAAACACCTGCGAACGGGGTTAACATGTATAATATTATCATTTTAGACTTCTTGGAAGTTCTGTTAGTACATTCAAGCGCACAGCACGACATTTTAATTGTCTGGTATTTGTAACAATATTCCCTAAAAGGCACAATCACCACGAACACGGCTAAAGCTAAAGGGTCAAGTACTATGACTAACTAACGTTGTAGCCTCTATGGTTGTAGCCTAGCAGAGTGGACAAGTTGCTGTTAGCTGACAGTGAGGCATGTACGTGTCC